AACCAATTCACATGATAATGTATTGGAAAATAAGCATACATTGCGATTTTTTCTACTTGTGTAAAGTGTAAATGTGACGTACGTGAATTGCTTGATTGGTGCTGTGGCAGATTTACTTACTGGCTGCAACTGCCGACAGATGCTCATAATATCGCTCATTCTACCGCTGAACCCAGGAGCGAACACATTCGGGTCAATGGCTATGAAACACTGGCCCTATAAACACGTGTTTATGTGACATAATGATGTGACGTCATGATGTGACGTCAGCCATGAAATACACGTGACGTAACGTAGAAGTACAACATTCCTGTTTCTATGTAAATTCACTTACAAAGTATATAGATCGTTGTTTGATGCTTGTTAACTACAGTAAAATCTTATGGCAAAAAATAAATGAGCTAAGAGCTCTTCATTATACGACATTGGCCAAGGTTCATGTACTAGTTAAGTAAGCACACAGACGTTCTAGGTTTTTTTCAGATATTATACATAACGCAAATAACATCTTTGGTAACTTTTAAAAAAATCTATGCAAATTATATGGCACCATCGATTGGATTCTAAAAGCCCATATGCAACTTGTATCTATAAGTATCCATAACGATTGAAGAATGATATAATGAGCATAAATATTTTGTGGGTAACTGTTTTTAAAGATAATTACCAAATTTGCCTGCGCACCTTGCGACTGCCATTTCCTAATGTTTGGTCCGTAGTAGGCCCCCGAAGTTATCCCACACAGCACCTCTACCATTAATGCCAGACCGTAGCCCTTGTATCCACCTTATTGGAATAATGTTTATTCTTTTAAGAATCAAAAGATAAAAGAATTTTTAAAAAATAACATGATCAAAAAGTACTGTAGTTTGAGTACGACCGTACATGTATACACTTATTGGGGCGTGGCAAATTATCGTGCCATTTGACAATGGTTAATTTCGTTAATAGAAACGTAAATTTTAAAAATTTTTAAAATTTATTGTGAAATTCCATAAATTTCATTATTGTAATACAGCAGGTGTGATGGCCTAGTGGTTAGCACGCTTGATTCAGGTGTGAGGGGTCCCGGGTTCAAATCCTGTAGTCGCGACTTATCATTCTGGTAAACATGTAAAACCAGTACTACCTGTATCATGCGGGGGGTCAGGACCTGACAGCAACCTGACTAGGAGTTAGGGTAACTCTACACAAAAAACCCTAGTTAGGATAACTCTTCACAAAAAAAAAACAAAAAACAAAAAAAAAACCCTACTACCTTAGTAGCAAAAATCCAGCCGGATCATAAGGCTAGCGGAGAAAAACTTATACAAACATAGGGCAGGCAATGGCCAGCGTGGGATGAGTAGGCCTAGAATCAAGCATGAAACGACTAACAAACACACGACCTCCAGTACCCAGCCGCACAAACGCCCTGAACTTAGGAATTCAGGTATATGCACCAACATCAAGCAGACCAGATGAAGAAGTAGAACAACTGTATGAAGAAGTACAACGTCAGTTGACAACAGACTGCCACTACCACATAGTCATGGGTGTTTCAACGCCAAGATCGGGATAAAGTCAGACGAAAAATTTCCACAGGGAAATTTGGCAGCGGAGAGAGGAATGAAAGAGGAGACTTACTGATTGGGCGACAGCAAATAACCTGAAGCTCATGAATACCGTCTACAAGAAGAAGATATCAAGAAGATGGACATGGCAAAGCTCAGACGGATGTACAAGAAACGAAATTGATTACATCATGACAAACAGACCGAACATCTTCACGGATGTGAAAGTGCTAAACAGACTGGATGCGGGCAGTGACCACAGAGCAGTTATGGGAGTGATTAGGATCAATGTCAGGAAAGACAGACAGAAATGCCTGTCAAATCCATCAAAGAGACCTAGTACCGAGCAACTGGACATAAAGAAAGACGAGTTCCAAATCCTCCTAACGAACAGATTCAGTGCACTAGAGCTAGAAGATGAAGATGGAGTAGATGAAATGAACGATATAATAAAGACCACCATCCTAGAATGAAATGCCCGCATCGGTCTGTTTGTCATCAGAAGTCGCACCGGCCAGTAAAATGAATGACTCAAAGCTCTCAACAGAAACGAGGATTCTCATGAAGAAAAGACGGATGATGAAGAAAATGGAGGTAAACAATAACAGGGACATCAGAAACAACATCGAATATGCAGAACTGGATAAGACCATCAAGAAGAAGGCAAGTGAAGACCAGGAAGCTGAACATGAAGAAGATAGCAGAGACCATCGAAAATGGAAAGAGCAAAGAGATCCTTTTAGACCAGATATTTAGAACGAGTAGAAGAATTCTATGTAGTATGACAGTTGTATGACAGCAACAAGGGAATAGAAATCTCAACAAAGGCATGCGATCTACCAGACATAACAGCTTGGGAAGTAGAGTCAGCAGTCCAGAAAGTGAAGAACGGGAAGGCAGCAGGAAATGACAACATCAAAGCAGAAATGGTAAAAGCAGGAGGAGATATCCTATCTCAGGAATTAGCCAGGCTCTTCACAAAGTGCTTACATCTGAAGAAAATTCCTGTAGCATGGAAGAACGTCAACATGATCATAATGTTCAAAAAGGGCAATAGGAAAGACATAAAGAATTACAGACCCATCTGCCTACTTTCTAATTTGTACAAGATTAACACCAAAATATTGACCGAAAGGCTAACAAGACAACTAGATGAAGCGCAGCCAAAGGAACAAGCAGGTTTCAGAGGCCAGTACACCACTGCACACTGTCAACCAGCTCAAAGAGAAATGTCTCGAGTATAACATCCCACTATGCGTAGCATTCGTTGATTATGAAAAAGCCTTCGACTCAGTAGAAACCCAGTATATACTGGCATCCCTGCAAGATCTAGGGAGACGTCCTCAGATACATATACACCGATAGCTCTGTAACAGTCAAACTACACAAGACCACCAATAAGATCAGGATCAAGAAAGGTGTACGCCAAGGAGATACAATCTCTCCTAAACTGTTCACAGCAGCATTGGAACGTATATTCAGGGATCTAGACTGACAGGACAAGGGCATAAACATAGACGGTACCAGGCTCAATCAACTTAGGTTTGCAGACGACATTATAATAGTTGCAGATGATGCAAAAGACCTCGAAGAAATGCTACAGGCGTTAGCAGATGAAAGCGCAAAAAGTGGGCTAAAGATGAACACCAGCAAGACAAAGGTGATGTTTGGACCACTAACCACCCCTTGCACAGTGAAGGTCAACACCAAAGAGATAGAAGGAGTAGAAGAGTATATATACCTTGGGCAACGGTTCAGCCTTAGTGATCGAACACTGGAGAAAGAAATCCAACGAAGGATAAAAGCAGGATGGGCAGCATATGGGAAGCACAATGACACCTTCAAGAGCAACCTTCCTACCTGCCTGAAAAATAAAGTGTTCAATGCTTGTGTGCTGCCGGCAATCACCTATGGTTCAAAGACCTGGGCACTGAATGCTTCCATGGAACACAAGCTACAAGTAGCTCAGAGAAAGATGGAAAGAATTATGTTGAACATCAGTCCAAGAGAGCGGAAAAAGAATGTATGGTTACGTGAACAGACCAAAGTTAAGGACGTACTGCTCACAGTTAAAGAAATGAAATGGAGGTGGGCAGGACATGTCAAAAGAATGAAGGACAATAGGTGGACAATCAGGCTTACAGAATGGACCCCAAGGTATGGACAAAGAAAAAGAGGAAGGCCGGTCAAACGATGGAGGGATGAATTAGATGACTACTGGAAGTCTTGGAAGAAGAAACCTTGGCCAAACTGGAAATCCAAAGCTCAGGATAGGAAACAATGGAAAAAGCATGCTGAGGCCTTTGTCCAACAGTGGAACACTATAGGCTCTAAATGATGATGATGATGATGATGATGATGATGATGAATACACCCTGTCATCGCAACGGCAGGGGGCCAAAACAGCCCCCACCTTTTTTTAATAATCCTAGTACAAAAATGTCTAAAACTGTATGTTCTGTATACTGTAGCGAGAGTGAACTTACTCGTTTCTTCTGCGCCACCCAAAGGCAACAATCCACCTGGCTTTATCACCGCAGTGGGGTCGTTGGTGACCTGGGTTAAAATAACAGGAATATGACTGGGATATACTGACGCAGAAAACAATAAAGGCCATCTCTCTCTCTCTCAGTCATCGACCACCAGTATCATCAACATGTGATATATATACTATTATACAGTATTTTCTCCTATATTCCTAATGTTTCCCTAAACCGAAATAGTAAAGAGAATATTTTAATTTCTGAATAGATAAGTAAATAAATGAATAAATTAAGATAAAAGTAAGTCAATACACGAATAAAACAAACAAACAAATAAATAAATATGAACCTTGCCCTCTTTGTCAACGCCCCATCCGTCTGGTATCTTATGTCCTCGTCTCTCTGCTATCTCAACCTCAGATAAAACAAGTAATGCAAACGTTATAGTATTGGTGAAAAAAATTCATTTTGCATTTTTGCAACACATTTTTATCAAACACCGGTAAATAATTAATATGCTCTGAGCCTTATGGTAGCAGAGACGTTGATTCCCTTATCGTTGTATAGCGACCAATATTTCCATGGCAACTCACCTTTCCCATAGCAACCGTGGACGTTGCCATGTCCAGAACAAAACTGTCGCCATTTTCAGCAGGAGCCGCCATTGAAATTGGATTGGTGCCGAACGTTGGCTAAAATTTGAAATAAGGTGTTTTTACTCAGAATATTACATTATTATTCAAAACGTACTGTTTGAGTGCGTACGGATGGTCGCGTGCTTGGGAGTTGTATGTGTGTCCACGTGTCCCCCTATGCTGTGGTTTGGGTAGCATGTGTGTGCATGTTATATCGTGTGCGCACTAGTCATTGTCATCACCGAGGGCAGAGTCAGAAAGATAAAGTGCTGAAGATTTGATCACTTTACCTTCTTTGCACGGGTTGGGACAATGGCAGGTGAGGAATTTGTGAAGGCCAATCCCTGAAAGAATAAAGAACTAGTGCTCAATGCTTTACACCAAACAGAGTTTTACATAGCATAGCATAGCATACCATAAAAGGTAGCAAGGTGGTAAGGACGAAACCGCTTTGCTTATGTTTTCATCACGGCCGATTTTGTTGGTTTGAACATTTCTAAAAGTTACTAATTAAAACAGCACGTTAGCTGAAAAATCTCTGGTGTTTTATCAATAATCACATGTGGAAATCGACCTTAGCTATTTATTACACTCAAAGGTGTATTTGATACTCTCGTCTCTTGTTGTTGAGTTGAGACGTGGACAGAGAAAGATTTTTTCTGACACAAACACTGAATGTGAACTATCTTGAAGCAAGTTGATTGTTTTATTTAAACCTTACTATTAACCCCTGTTCACAAGCCCGCATGCTGTACCAACCGGCAATTCCAAAATGGTTTGATTCTGTAAATCAGAAAGGATATGCTTATTAAAAGAAATAGAAACTAAGTAGCATGCCAATTTTGCACACAAATTTCCTATTTAAATTCGAAGCATTTTAGTTATATGGTAGTTTACTTCATTTTTTAGTTTAATATAAAAATGGTTGAACCGAAATTAATTCAATTGGGGTGTGTGAATGTACACAAAACAAAATTAAAAAAACAACATTTGTTGGATTTAGCAGTTAGATGTCTCGTCAGTTTCACAAACAGACTTTATCCTGAATTTGTCTTAAGTTTTAGACCAAAATGTTATTTAATTTACTTTGACCCAAGTTAAACCAGAAGTAGCCCTTTTAAACGAAATATCCTTTAGTGAAACTGACCTCATTTCATGTAAAATGAACTACACGCTAATTTTACGCTAAAAATAAACGTTGGTTTTAATTACGTCCACCAACGACCATTAATGCAATATACTATACAGGTACAAGTAAGTAGAATTTTAAAGCCAAACCTTTTACGGCGACCATTGCAATCCCTGCCTCTTTGGCCTTCCGTATAGCAAGGTCCATGCAGAATTTGGCGACAGGCGGGCCGGGGGCGTTGTTGCCGTTAACCCAGGCGGTTGCAGCGGTCTCGTTCTCAATGGTTGGAACAGCGTCCTTGTCCGTTGTACCGCAGATAATATCATCTACATACATTTCTGGAGTAAAAATCCACAGTATGTATTTTAGGTCATTCATCTTCACTTCTGGGACTCGTTAACTGCAATCAGATTAATAGACGTACACCCCATTTCCATAGATTAGATCGACCTACTTTAGATCGACCTAACTCCCTGGGGGTTCACGCTAAATAGCTGTCAGCCGGGCGGACACGAAAGTTAATTATCCCCTTACAGCTTGTAGTAGGCGGGACGGACATTTAAGTCGGATTAACTGAAAGTAATCTAGTGAGACTCCCCGCGGGGATAGATCGATCTAAAATCTATGGGAATAGAGCCTAACACGCCTCTTGTTTACAACGCACTAGGAAAATGGCCAGCTTTTCTGTATTCTACTCCACACCAAACGGAGGCAAGTTAGTCTGTTTATCTGATTGCATTCAGCGAGAGACCGCGTAGAGTAAGGGACCGTTCATATGAAAAATCTATTTTCTAAAATATTTTTTCTATTTGCGGTATCTTGTGATCACAGTCTGTGCGCTGAATACCCCGCGGCGTAATTATTGGCAGCGCGACCCAGTTACTTCCAAAGCTGTAATTAATTCTCGGCTGCGCTCGGAATGATCACAAGATACCGCGAATAGAAAATAGATTTTTAGAAAATAGATTTTTCATATGAACGGTCCCTTAGTGTGCACAAGCTGGGTCGACTTAACTCATTCGGAACGGCTCCTGTAATATATTAACTTGGGGGTTGAACCCACATGACATGAATACTCATTAATACTAACTCAATTTTTGGGGGGGGGGGGGGTTAACAGTACCAAAATAAAATTATGCTGCGTGAATAATAACATCTGTCACAGCTATAGCACAACGTGCTCCGAAGAGCAATTTACGACCGAGACAAATGCAATAAATATAGAAATGGTTGCATGACGAGAAAAGGTCAGCCGGAGCTTTCGTTTCAACCAGATATAAACAAATTCTGTGTGGATTGTAGTTGTAGGTATCACAGACAAGGGGTTTACGTGTACATTGTCGTGAACAGAACAGATAGAAAACGGTTGTAGGCCGACTCTAAGCATAAACGAAGACACCTTTTCCACCATTTTTCCTCGTTGATGTAGCAGTCGAGTCACGAGCTGGCACACTTTCTGTTAAGACATAAGAACAATGTAACTGCATAGCAAAGCATCATGTCTGTAGAGATGGGTCGGTTCTTTTTAATTCTTCATGGGAACCCTACTTTACATAGGCACGACTTTGGGAACAAATCAGTTAGAATGTGTATTCAGTAAGATGCAACTTTGACCCCTGCGCGACCCTGTTTATCGAAGATCGCGGACAACAAACAACGCCCGCGCACGCACGTACGTATGCGTGTACTGCCTCTGTGTGTGCATACGTGCCCGTGTTTGCACAAGTGGATACACCAACATATGAATGACAAGACCACTACAAGAACTTCACCGTGACTTCTAATAATACAAGCTGGCTGACACTTAAAACTTTACATTGTACTCTGCACGTTTGCACATATATTATACGTCTTAAGCGCTAAATTAGGCCTACTTCATGAGTATTCTCACCTAATCTGTTTAATCCATGACTAAAATGACCGCGGTAGTCGGCAGCAGTAAGGAGATCCGCCGTAGTGTCGGCATATTCTTGTCTTGAACCCACGGCGGTCAGGCACCGGACGGCGAACGCGGTCACCTCTTCCCTCGGCACGATCAAGTAGTCCCCTTCAGCAGCCATTTTGTGTAAGTTGTACAATGTACTTCCTTTGCAGTGTCGGCCGTCTCCTCAGTGGGGAACACCGGAGATAACCAGCGACCGCAAACACGCAACTTGAAGGATTATCTGCTGACCTGGAGGGTGTATTCCACTGGCGTGCGCTGTATATGACCCACTCTGGCTACTGGTTGCATTATTAAGAGCACATGTAACACAATGCATAGGCCCCTATATGTACATGTGGATGTGAAGATAGGCGTCTTACGGGTTCAAGGGGAGGGTGGATCTATTGTGTCAAAGTGCAGTCTTCTCTCCGTAGATTCTAATAAGTCTGCAATGTCCACCGATATATTAACAAATGTAATGCTCTTGTAAATAGTATATAATTATACGATGCAGGGGTCATCGACTTCTGACAAAGTTCTTTACTTGTTACAAGTCTTATAACTCTGCAAGGCCTATGTTACTCTTGCCCTGTGTGTTGTGCGATAAGCTTGAACAGGGGTTTCCATGGTATTTATTTTTACGTAATTTTTAGCAAGTCTATTGCTCTGCCCTTGCGGGCGTGGTGCAATGCCACCTAAGGTATGGGTGTAAGTCTACAGGATGGGATGACAATTTTCAAGAAAAAATAATAATGTGTCAGAATTTTTGGGACATTTTAGTCAACGTTTTCTTTGAAGAACTTAATACTTCTTGTTTAACCTGTAATCTTTTTAAAGAACATCTGGTTATGATAAAAAAACGCAACATCATGGTTTCTATTCTTCAGGGATAAAATTATGCCCCATACCGATTGCCATCTCACCTCAAAAGAGAAAGGTGTTCAATTTACGATTAAAGTTCTGAGTTGCCTTCGCTTTCACATTGCAACGTGAAATGAAAACGCCGATATTTTAAATTTTCAATGGATTTTTATTGCTTTAAATCAGCACAAAAATAGACGCATTATTGAATAATTAGATGCAGGAAACAACTAATTTTGGGTATCTGGATAACAATAAAGGCTTACAATGCCCTTAAAGCAAACCATAAAGACAACAGAAAAACTTATTTATCTGCTCTTCCAACACTGTTTGCTTCACTACTTTATCTGAGATTAATAACTTAATCCCGCAGTTAAGATAAGACACTGCTTTGCATAATATACATAATACTTTGCATATAAATATACGGCACATCAATACTGGGATTAAGATATACTTGTACCTGAATATGATAACGGTATATTTTACATGCTTTCCATCTGCCACGTAGGCCTACAGCCGCAACTAAATATAAACATATATATGAACTGAAACACAAAGTTACCAAGAAAATAAACTCTGTTGACAACAATGGTGCAACGTTGCATTGCAATATTTTTACCCAAATATATAATACAAAACTATATGGTACTACAGTAACTGCAGACTTATATACTCTTGAATATTGGTATAACATTGTATTGCCCTTCCAATATAACACCAAAACCTTACCACCAAATTATACGGTATTAATTATCAAATTAATCAGAATTTTACTATTATATACGGAGAACCTCTTGCACTATAACCATATTAAATATGGGAAAAAAGTGAAAATATTGGCAGAACAATCGCATCAGATGCACTACATGTGTACTGCGTATACAGTAATAAGCACTGCACCGAGTTGCATAATATTATAGCATTTGATGCTTCAGCGTCAACTTTCGGTATGTAAGTAAAACTTTACTCTCTACCCCACTGATCAAACTACTGCGCCTTTTCGCTCCACTAGTTAAGTCTAAAATTCATAAGACAGCGGTTCAACAGGTTATCACCAAGGCTTCTAAAGAAGAAGCTGATTTTTCTTACAGATTTATTTCTTAGGGAAATTTTGAAGTACTTCTTTATTTGCTTGGAGTTTAAGTCATTTTAATGAATCTTTTTTAGTCTTCTACAAGCACATCTCCTCACATGTACTCTTATATCTTAACGATAGCTTTTTAAACTTTTGATAACTGATAGAAATTCAGTTTGGAAAACGCACAGCAGTCATTGACACGGGGACGTCAAAGCACCGAGGCTCACGAATCTGAAGCTCTCGCAACCTTCTCAATGTTTTACATTTTTCAAGTTTCCTTGCCAGCGTTACACGTTTCATTGCTTGCGTTACAAGAATTCAGCGTTCCCCTTACAAATTCCTTTCTCTTGTGTCATCTCTTTGTCCATTAATCCCACTCAGCATCATCGTCGGGATCCAGAAGTTCCTGTATGCCATATACCCAACGTTCCACCGAGTATGCGTCCGAGTGAACGAAATAGTACTTCTTTCGCCCCACGTCTATTACCATGCCTGAGTTTTCTGGTGAATAAAGAATATGAATTTCTCATATAGTGTCGGGAATAGAGATATTTCACATAATAATAATACATGGAGGAAAAAATAAATACAATACAATATTTAGTACAATACAATAATGTATAGTTCGAAATTTTCTTCTTAACAATTTAGTAATTTTTTACTGGAAATTATAAATAATTTTCATTACAGAAAATTAATTACCTCCATCAGTGGCAAAGTCGGCGGAAATGATCTTGTTCAACTTCAGACTGCTCCTGTACAGGTTCTCCCGCGGGCCCCAGACCAGCCGGATGCCTTTTGGAAGCTCCTTGGCTTTTCCCGGCAGAAGAAGTCGCATGTGAACCGGGCTCAGCTTACCATCCACTTGTTTAGAAAGATGGCCCCCTTAAAACAAGAAAAAAAACTCTTCAGAATACACACAAAAGAAGGAGGTTATCACTGATTAAGGAGTAACCTAGGGTTAATTTGACAATAAATAAATAAATAAATAAAAATAAAAAAATTAATAAGACTCGGTTGAAACATGAGAATGTTTGACTCTCTGTGGTCAACTTTACACGTGTGTATCATAGTGTTAGATCAACTGCGCATTTATTACGAAGTAGACTATTACTAATTTATTTATTTATCAACTTGTTTATATGTTTGTTCGTTTACCAATTCGTTTGCAAACAATGTACCGTTCATAAAACTCGCTCTCAGATTTCATATTGCATGAAGGCATGACGGTCTGCTCAAAGCAGAGATAGATGTAATTTGGACAGGAAATCAAACTTCCGTCATCAGCTACGAATGATTAGGCTGTCAGGTTTGCTAAATATATGCTGTTAGATAAACGGTTCTCGTAAAAAAAAACAACTGACCTCCTTGCAGTTTCAGCACGTTCGGGGAATACGGCATAGAGGACAAAATGGCACGAATCTCCTGTGTTGTGGCAATGTCAAACTTCATCTGACTGTAATATTCCTTCAGTTTCTTCATGCCAGCGCTGTACTCGTCCTTATTCAATGTCGATATCTAGAAAACGGAGAGAAAAGGTTTTTGAGAAATAGCGCACAGGTAATCGCTTTAACAGACAGTTAAATTGCGACGGACAGGAAACAGATTTCAGAAATTTGGTAAGAACTTCAGCGAAAATTAACTCTTGTTTTAACAGTCTCGTATTAATCTACTGCGCTATGACAGCTTTATTGAATCAGTGTGACAGGAATGGCAGTCCGCCCCCCCCCCCATCACTTTGTACAGATGACATTTGTCCCATATCCTAACCCTAATATTCCGACTAACCCGAACCTGTACAAATCATATTGGATCCCGGGCTTCCATTGTGAAGACTGCCACTTCTGACACACCGGCACTCAGATCGTTTAAGGGATAACTGTTCGTAAGATTTCCATATTTCACAATAAATACATTGCAAACAACTCATAGAAATATAATAAATTCTATTTTACCACCAAAACGGCGGTTAACATAATTATTCTGGAATTTGTGTTTGCCATCACATCACGTGACCTACATAGATGGCTACACTCTGTAACAATCTTTTAAGAGACTATTAGAACAAACCAAACTTTTTAGAAAAAAATAAGGGACTATTTTTGAATGTGGGAATGGATTCATTAACCACAGGTAAGTAGGAGAAAATTTTTCTTTACCCCAGGAAAATTCTTTTTTTTTTTTTTTTTTTTTTGCCAAAATGAATAGTTGTTATCCCTTTAAGTATTGTGCATGTACACCAAACTTCCTTTGAAAAAAAGCATACAAGCAAAATTATGTGTAAGGACACAATTCTGAATAATGAAAGAATTGTAATTCTACCTTGCCCATGCCCTTGGTCTTCACTGCATCCTTTCCATGATTTTGGTCGTTTTGCTTCTTTCCAGATTTATCAGCCATCTTCCCTTCTTTCTGGCTTTTCATTAATTTCTTGGCTTCTTTCTTTCGTATCTTCTCGGCCATTCTGCTCTTCGTCTTCTGAGAGTGTTGATCATGCACGGTGTATGGAGGAGGAGAGGCCCGAGCACCTTTTTTATCCAATGACGACCCAACAGGACTTCCAACAGCAGTGTTTTGGACCGGTATCGGTTTTTGTGTTTTCAGTTTGTACAACACCCCATCGGAACCAGCTTGGCTTTGTTCATATGGCTCAATGGCATCGGTGATGGTTTCAAAGAGTTTTGGGCGAGATATTTCACTCAAGGACATATCTGGGCAGTCGACGATGGCTTCCAACAACCTTACGTAGTCGTCTGCTACAGCGTTTGCTTCAGATCTCGTCAAAATATCGTAACTGTACGAGAGTTCAATGTGGTAAGGTTCTGAGGGGACGTTTTTCCAGAGAGCCATGCGGGTTTCCCACCAGCACCCAACTTGCTGCACCCGATAGATGTGTGTGCCAAACCGGCTAGCCGATTCGAATACAGGAGAGAAATCTCCAGCATCTTTCATCACGAGTAAATGAGGGTAAGGGAATGTGGGCGATCCTCTAATATCTTCATGAATTCGATGTGCAGGGTAAACGCTGTGCTCGATACATTGATTGATAATTTCTGCATTGTTTCGGAGGAATTCCAAAATACTGCAGTCTTCTTCTTTGAATGAGGCTACGTACGGTATGTGATTGGCAAAGGACGTCATTGGATTCTTCACGTCTTTCAGGTGGCTACGCAGGTCAACCACGCCGCCTACAGTGATGTAATGAGAGTTGCAGTATTGATGCAGCAGGAGTTGGTATGCGCTCATGAAAAGTTTGAAGAGAGTGAGATTGTTGTCCTTTACAAATGTCGTTATTTTCTCCCACGTGCTTTCACTGAAGTGCCGAAGGATATATGACCCATGTTTAGAAATGTGGTCCGTTGGTGGAAGGCTGCTTGGTAACCTGACTCTCAGCGGTACGTCCTCAGGACACAAACCTTTCCAAAACGCCGACAAGGTTTTTGATTGTCTTGCCAACAAACTATCCATCGCCAGCGCCACCTGATGACCCGATGAGGTTAAAGAGGGCCGCGGTGATTTCTTCGCCTCCATTTTTGCCACGGTGACAGTTGGAAATTCGTTGAGAACGGCATTGATGGCTGTCATATCAAATACCATGTGGTGGAAAATGAAAGCAAAGTACTTGACATCAATTCGTTTCTTCATTATGACAACCCTCAGACCAGATTCTTTCTCAAAGTTCCATGGGGTCTTTATACACTCTGCCAGACGAGCTTCGCATTCATAAACGTTGTTGACTTCATACATGAAGTATGGTGGCTTGAATGTCTTTGCATCATGGGTCACGGCCTCCACCCCATACCTGGCACGATCATTGGACCGGTACGTGGTTCTGAGAGCCGGGAGGCGCTTGTGCATATCATCAAGAACCTCTCTCATGAAATACAAGTCCCAGATACGCATTGTGTTCCTAAAACCCACGACATTCAACACGGAATAATCTGAAGGGTCCTCTAGGTACTTCATCCAGTAAGTGTACTCAGTAGGGCAGATGGATGGGATCTGGTCATCAAAGGACTTTTCGGTTAGCTCAACCTCTCCACTGTCTTCGGCCTCACCAGCACCAAGATGCTCGTTGAGGTAGTTGGTGAGAGTAAGTGGGGTGGTGTCCTGACCTATAATGATCACAACAGGGACCTTGACTTTGAGATCTTCGTTGAGCTTGCTGATAAGGGTCATAGCCAACATGGAGTCCATACCAAGCTCCATCAGTACGGAATCATCCTTCACGAATGATGGCTCCATGCTGAAGATTTCACTTAGTAGCAGTTTAAGGTACTTGAATATAATTGGCTGTCTCTTCTCTGGGGCCATCTTCAGTAACTCGTCTATGTTGATTTGGAGTAACTGTCCACGTCCTCCTTCAGCACCGCTTCTTTCCACATAATTCAAAGCAATCAGAGTCTTGAAGCGGCTGCGTATGTGACTGAAGTCCCCTTTCATGAGATCCTGGGTTATCCGTTTCCAGTTAAATTCGCCAAAGGTAATTTGGGTGTGATTGGTACACAGACAGTGTTCAAAGCAACGTAGGATGTCAGGCACATCCAGGGCTGGCCAGCCTTGGTTGGCCAATTTCTTCCTGAGGGCCTCGTTATCCTTAAGCATGCCAATGCTTAGAGCTGTCCAGTTGATGGTTTGGCCTGCCAGGTTGAGTTGCCGGCGGTAGTGAGCAAACGTGTCCATGAATGAGTTCCCTGCTGCATAATTTGTCTGCCCAGCATTACCCAAGGATGACGCTGTAGACGAGTGCATAACAAAGTAATCCAAGTCCATGTCCTTCGTGAGTACATGTAGGTTTAATGTACCTACAATCTTTGGGTTGGTGACTCTCTGAAACTGCTCCTGGGTCATTTTCACCAACAGCCCATCGTCCAATACTGCGCCTCCATGGAAGACTCCCTTCAGATGAACTCCTGGAAGTTTTGTAGCCATATCGTTGAAGGCGTTACGTAGTGACGTCATATCACTGACATCTGCTTGCAGACACACAACTTTGGAATTATATGTGTCTTCAAGTTCGCTTATCTCATAGACCATTTCCTCTGATGGCTGTCGTCTTGATACTGGCAGGATGTATCCAGCACCTCTCTCGGCCATAAAGCGAACTATTTCCCACCCTAGACCAGTGAGACCACCTATCACCATGTAACTGCAATCTGGTCGGAAAAGTTCGCCTTTCCCTGTTTGGACAGGAAGGGGTACTTGGACACCATCCTTTCGTATGGAGAAGACACACACTGTCTTGGAATCACAAGTCAAATTGTGACTGGGTGTTTTGGAAGTTGATCGCACTTCCTTGGCTGATAATCCCAATGGTTCTACTTTGAACCCAAGCTTCGATAATTTGGTTGTCTTTTCAAGCCACTTTGCAAACTTATCGTGGTGCTGTTTTAGGTTAACGGGGGTGAAAAACTCTCTGAGACTGACTGAGTGTACTATGGCTTCAGGGACAGCATGACTCAAATCCAGCTTGTATCCGGGCTTGGCCCACTCTTGTAAAATTACAATCGTGGCAGAACCTTGGATTGCTCGGGACAAGGCCTCTGTTTCTCTGATATCCAATGCTGTGAGAAGAACGATAAAAGGCTCTGGGTCAGCAATCTTTGTCTCTGTAAGGTCGGATGGATGCAGGATAAAAGTGGGTCGGTGTTCTGCGCTGCCCATCATGCATACAGTGTGAGTCATCATGGATTGGGTTGACCTACTTATCACAGTTACTGGTCTCTTGTGCAGTCGGATCTTCTTTAATATGTACCAACTGATCATGATTTGAGGCAGAAAATGCTTCAAGTGTTCCTTGTATGGAGGAAGCTTCAGAAGACACCATTCAGGTACAATCACAGAGGAATGAACCGATGTTGGGTACAGTGTAACTACGGATTCGCTCACTTGGAATTTGGATTTCTTCTGGTTTCCTATAGCTTGGACTTCGCCAGTCATACTAAGGGAAATGACGTCATGGCCTTCGATGTCATCCTTGGACCAGACTTTTTCTTTGTTTGTCATGCCGTCTATGGTAACAGGAAAGAATGGCTCGGGGTGAATGAGTGCGGTATCAACTGTCAATTTCACCATCCCTGATGCTGGGATTTTCTCTGTGTGTTGTTTAGTGTCATAGCGACAGTGCAGGTTTCGATAAGCATTGTTGCTTGCAGACACAAGTCTGACTTCACACCCTGGGTAGACAATGTTCTCTCGTCGGTGGACTGCGTTTTTGTCATCACTGTGTTGGACAAATTCATTCCAGTAGATACTTTTGTCAGAGATCATCATCTCGCAGACATTTTCTTGGAGGATTTTATTCAAGGCGCTGCCGAATTTGCTGATCTCAGTTTCATTACCATGGAGAAGGTCTATAACTTTGATGTGATTATACGTAAACTCCTTTAACAGGCAGCGTGTGAAGCCCCTTACCTGTGAACCAATCGGATTTGGTATACTGTTTTCGAATTTTTTTAGCTCAGACGGAATTCCATTGACAGCATTCATAATCTGAGTCCCTTGCGTGAGAACCAAGATGGGGATGTTCATCTCTGACGTCACAAGCGCTTTCACAAGCTGACGCAAGCTTGCTGAGCCGTACTGTATCGCAAAGTCGATGACCTCAGGAGAAAAACTGAGTTGATGGTTTTGATAGCTCCACATGTGTATGATTACTTCTACAGTTGAAAGTGCATCATCAGAGACTCTCTCTTTCAGGAGTTTTGCCATGGTTTCCTCATCATGAAGAAGTACTGCAGCAGGGCAACTATCCGGCTGAAAAAATATTGAATCAGTGGCAACATGATCTTTAATGGCTTGCCATGCATTTTCTTTGTCACAGAAGACGAGGGCTTTTGGTCTGGCGACAGGTGACAGAGAAACATTGCTATCGCTGCTACGACTGTCTTGTCTCTCCATTCCAGGATCAGCTTCAACATCCACATCATTGAGCGACTCATCACTACTGTTCATCTTTTTATCTTCAGCCAAAGAAAAATGCCTCCATTTTTCTGTATAGGTCAAGACGTCTTCTACAGATTTATACTGTGTGACAGCTTTAGCAACAGAATTGCGGATCTCAACCAGAACGTCTCCATTGTCATCAACCATGCACACATTGTATTTCACCTCCTCCCTAGTGAAGTACAGTTTCCTGACGTAGGCCCAACACTCTCTCTTAGGGGGATGGCGGACAATGATGCTGCCCAAACCACGTGGCAAGACTTGACCGTACTCTTCCTGGTTACCTGTGTCACTGGTGTCTGCTTCGGCCAGTGCCCTATCTTTCTCCATGGCGGCGAGCATACCCCCTGCCTGCTGCATGATATCAATCAGTGCTGGGTGCATGATAGTGGTGTATACGTCCTCAAGCAAAACATCCGGGATGCGTATCTTGGCTAGGTATTCTTCAGTATTCCTCACTCCGGACCCCAGGCCTCTAAACGACGGACCATAGTCGAACCCATAGTCGGACAGCATCCCGTAGATGTCTTGTGACGTAGTTTTAACCAGGCACCTCTCTCTTACGCCGTCCATGTCTATCTTCTTGAGTACCTCTGTGTATTCGTTTACCGTGATGGTGCCGGTCGCGTGAACCGCGTGGCCGTTTCTTGATGTTACCTTGTACTTGTATTGTTCGATGATCTGTCCGTCTTGTGGTTGACCTTCGGGCTTGACTACTTCCAAAACAACCCTCAGGTTAACTGGGTCATCAGACGTCAAAACAATGGGGGAGACGAACTCCACACTGAGGCGTATGTGATCGGTAGGAAAACGAAACTGTGTCATCGTCATATAAGCAGCATACCCCACTTCAATGTGGAACACCCCTGGTACGACGATTGTCCCGCCGACGGTATGGTCATACAAGAAGGGAGTCGTTTCTTTGCTGATGACAACCTTGAACTCTGTGTCTGTCCCTGGGAGAGACCCTAGGAAGGGGTGAGTCCCACCTCCCGTTCCACCACCTTGAAGGTTCAGCCTTGCCTTCTCAGGGATGAACAAGGTCTTGGAGCGGTTGAAATGATATTTGGGGACGTCGGCAGGTGGGACTTCTAGGCCTTTATAATAAGAACTCCAGCTAGGGTCGACTCCAGTTTGGTAGAGTTGGCACAGGGTTTCCAGCATGCATGGGTGCTCGTTTTTCGGTTTAGTTGTTGGAAACGACACGTGGGCGGCGCTCCCTGCTGTCTCGGCTATGTTAGCACGGAGAGCTGGCCTGGGGCCGATCTCAATGAAGACGTTGGTGTCTGTTTCGCTGACCACTTTCTCAATGGCTTGTTGAAACATCACAGCTTGGCGAACGTTGCGGGACCAGTAGTCTCCTGTGACAAAGTCCCTTTCCGACCCCATATCTCCAGTGACTGTGGAGGCAATAGGTATCTTGATATCACTCCCTTTTATCTCCGCCAGCGCCTCTATTAGGGGTGCTACAATGGGCTCCATGTGGTGGCTGTGAAATGCAGAAGACACCTTAAGCTCACGAAGGAAAAGCTTCTCACTTCTCTCAGCACTCTTAGATTGTAATTCCCTGTGTAATTCATCTATGGCGTCATCGTCTCCGGAAACTGTACACGAAGTAGCGCTGTTGTATGCTGCGATGTTGACCTGTCCTGGGTACTTCTTGCACAGCTCTTCCACTTCTTCAACAGGGATTTTCCCAGCGACTAACATCTTGCCCCCAGTGACCATCTTCTGCAGGCGCCCGCGATGATATATGACCGTTACTGCTTCTTTTATTGGAAGGGCACCGGCCACGCAAGCTGCCGCAACCTCACCGACTGAATGCCCCACAATGGCAGCTGGCTTTATTCCCCAATGCATCCACAGTTCTGCCTGGGCTACCTGGCAGGCAAATATCATCGGTTGGGCAATGTCTGGCTGGTCAAATCCTTCATGGTCTCTGAATTTCTGCATAACAGACCACCCTGATAATTCAAACAGATATTGATCGATTTCGTCCATCTTTTGGCGGAATATTGGTTCCTTTGCATACAGGTCGAGACACATCCCTTCCCAGTGAGTCCCCATGCCGCAGAACACGAAGATTATTTTCTTATCATTCCCGTCTACCGTGGGGCTGCTTGGTGGGTAATTGGATGCTGCCTCAAGCTTCTCTATCATATCTTCCATAGAAGAGGACGCTTTTGCTACTCTGAAATTGTAGTGTGTTCTACGGCAAGTGGAAGTGTAAGCGACTTCGTTTAAAGTATACTGCCCTGTGCGAAGCCGCTCAACCAGGTGCGTGAGCGTCCCTTGGGTTGAACCCTCGCTGGTCCCCGAGACGGCAACAATGTAGGTCTGGTCGTCGCCATGCTCTGGTTTCTCGTTCAAATGCTCACGCACGATAGCATGGCCGTTCGTCCCTCCAAAACCAAAAGAATTCACACAACACATGCGGTAACCTTTGGGAGAGGGGGGCCAGTCTGTGACCTCAGTTGGGACTTTCATGCGAATCTCATCGAAATTGATCTTGGGGTTGCCCCTCTCTGGAGTGTAATGAAGAGACGGTGCAATCTTCCCTGCCCTCATCATCAAGAGGACTTTGATCAACCCAGCGCACCCGGCAGCGGATTCAAGATGGCCGATGTTGGTTTTGACGGACCCGACGAAGAGCGGGAGGTCGTCCTCCTTGCGTGATTTACCCAGCACCTTACCCAGAGCGTTGACTTCGATGGGATCTCCTATTGGTGTCCCTGTGCCTGGAATAGAATTAGTTTATGCCAACAAATTCTAATAAAAACACAAAATGTGCGTTTCGCCCTTTCCTGATTATTTTGCATTTCTATTTGCCTGTGTTTCATAAAGTTGTTAAAAAACAAAAAGATATGGCATATCTCACTTGACGAATATAACGACAAGAAAAGCGTCGAGATGTTTGTAAACAAGCTTTTTTGAGTCAGTAGGCTGCAAGGATCGTGTTAGTTTACGTCGCTTACTCTCTCTTTCTTATGTGTGTGTGTGTGTGTGTGCGTGTGTGTGTGAGTGCATGCACACGTGCGCGTGTACATGTAGGCCCCCTATGTGTGCAAGCCACACGCATGTGTTTGCGTTAGTGTGTGTGTGTTGCTTAAAGCTGATGACTGCATGCAACGTGGGTTTATTCCATGCGTATGTATTCATGCACATGTGTAGACTTACCATGCGCCTCGGCATACTGCAGCTCAGCAGGGTCCACTTGGTACTTGCAATAGATGTGTTTCAGTAGTGTCTCTTGCTGGCTGGCAGATGGCGCTGATATCGGCACGGCTGTGTGACCGTCCTGGTTCAGTGCCGTCCCTACAACAGCCCATATGTGGTCGTGATCGTGGAGAGCCTGAAATTCATTTATCGCACATTTTCGAGACATTGAAAAGAAAAGTGTTTCTTTATGTTAATAATTTTGAGGGCCTGTAAACGATAAATGGGTCGAGTGAAAGTAAATGTTGAATTTGACTGTACTTCAAAGCTTGCCTTTAATTATATATAAATTGAATGCGTCAGACATTTGAATTAAAATAAATGTTTTTATCACCGCAGTCATGCAAAACAAAGTGACCAAGTGAATTTAATTTTTAATAATTTTCACAATACACCAGGGTGCATGGTTTTTTCACACTGCAAACTAACAATATATTTAAATAAGTACTGCTACACGTACATGTACCTGCGTCTTATATGAAAAGGTGCTTCTTGTATTGGACTATGATATACACAGTGATATACCTACTTTATGTAATTCAGACCATTTGTGGGTTATGTGTGTGCATGTATATTTGTTTAAATACCATGGACCGAAAAACCATGTTATGAATAAATGATTAAAGGAATGCTTAAGTACTATATACCTGAAAAACCATTTTCAAACACATATATCGGTATGCTAATCACTGTGGTACTATAGGCACAGAAAAACGCAAATTACATTCATTTTTTGTTGTTGTTGTTTGTAAAACTCACATCTTTTAGTCTCTTCATGATAACCATGCCGCAGCCTTCTCCTCTAGCGTACCCATCCGCGTCTGCGCAGAAAGCCTGGCATTGTCCTTTGGCCGACATCATTTTGGCACGACACAGGGGAACGAAGTTTTCCGGCGTCATAATGAGGTTACAGCCTCCTGCTATTGCCGTTGTACACTCACCTGCATGAGAAGAGGGGGGAGGGTTGGAAAGGCATTAATTTGTGATGAAAATGACAGTAAAACGAAAAATGGCAAATCACCTAATTACAGGGTATAGCTTTCTAGTATTTACTGAGTGATAAATAAAATTGAAACAGGTCATTTTTCTTTTCGACAACGCAAAACTCTGTAACGTGCGTTCTGTAGAGTTTTTCGCTATCAACTCAGAGGTCTTTGAATGTAAAAAATAAATAAATAAAAACCTTGTCAAATGTAAAGAAATGCCACTGACACAAGCCACTATAGACATTCTTTTCTTTTATCTTCTAAACAATTGAGCGATCTGATGCCGCATGACCTAGCAGAGGAAGACTCCAATTCCGCAAAATCGAAGTTCCCCTTAAAATACTATAGCAATACCTTGTAAAAAAAAAAAAAAAAACTAATGCTGCTTACCTGTTCTCAGAGCTTGCGCGGCCAGATGCAGTGCGACCATAGCCGAGGAACAGGCCGTGTCCACACACAGCGACGGCCCCTGGAGGTTGAAGGTGAAGGACACACGATTGGCGGCAATGCTGTTGGAACTGCCCGTAGGGGCGTGGTGGTTTATCTCTACCAGGTCCGCGTTCACAAGGGCGCTGTAGTCGCTGTTCATGATGCCTGGAGTATGGAAATATATATTTCATCCATTGTCGAGTTAGAAGTTTATGGTCAGGGGATTTAATCCCTCATAAATCATTGTTTTATTAACGACTTAAAAGTCGTTGATTTAAATTGCATATGTAAACTTGTATACATATACAAGGCTAGTTAAAAGGAACCTTAATTTACGACACTTTTTACAGTTAAAGAAAATAAGTGTTCCTCTTGATTATTTATAGTTGAACCATTTAAGAAGCATATTTTAAGTTTACTATAAGTAACAATAGTACGTAGGTTTTTTAAATAAAGATCCAAATGCTATAATGTTGTGATCGATGTAATCGGTTCATTTCTTACAATCATTCTACCTTGACATGTATTTAAATTGTATTTTAAAAAGCTTTTTATAATTTTTTTATTCAGTTTTCTTCAACCAGCTTATTCAAATATGCTCACCAAGATATACGCCCGTAGTGCTACCAAATATGTCCTCCCGAGTGATTCCTGCATTCTCTAGGGCCATATAGACACATTCCAGCACCATCGCCTGCTGGGGGTCCATACGCTCCGCCTCGGCATCGTTGATCATGAAGAAGCGGTTGTCCCAGGCGTCGTGACTGTAAAATTTGAATATATACTGGAATTAACAGATCGTTTTACAATTTAACAGTTTCGTCCTTACGAGGATATTTATTTGACGGGAATTTTTAAAGTTGTTTTCAAATTATTTTGAGTTTTTTTTTCAAATCTAGATACATAAACATTCCCCACAATTTTCTAGCTTAGTGATTATTTTACCTTCAAAATTTGAAGAAATTTTAATGGGAATTTTTATTTATTCATCCATAATATATGGATATATAAATTTACTTATCTACATATTTGTTTGTTTATTTGATTTGAGTATACAAAATACATTTTCATGTTACTGTTAAAGATACTCACTGCTGAACAAATGCCGCTTGCTTCACGTAAGATTTCCCAGGGGTGTCACGCCCAGGGTCGTAGAACGCGGCGCTGTTCCACCTGTCCTCGGGGATCTCTATCAAGTGGTTTTCCCCATTGACCAACACCTGCCAGAACTCGTCTATGTTGTTGGCCCCCGGGAACCGACATCCTATACCCACAATGGCGATGGCGTCGTCGCCGTCCATCGTGTTAGTCTGGGAGTCTAAAAAATACCCAAAATATAAACCTCAGTCCAGTAATTTGCTATGGTTGTACAATGTACATTATAGAGTTGAAAATACTGAAAAAAATTACAGATTGTCTAATGTGGTGTCCAATTTAAATACGTATTAATAAATCTTTCATTTAAAATATAGATACAGTCGGATCTTGGATCGTGAATGATCCCGCCGCTTGTACTGGTACTGACGACAAAACCTGCCAACGCCCTCTCTGTTCACAAACGATGCTACTGGGAACGAATGAATTTCGCCATGGGCGGTCACGTGCTTGCATTGAGCAGTATTCACATGCACGCATCCTTGAACTTTGTTTGTTGTCCTCCCTTTTTTGCGTATAATTCTATAAGCTTAGGCCTAAGCTAACATGCATTAGAGTGGAAACGGAGAGCGAAATAGTACAGAAACTTGTGAATGATGTAATGATGTATGTGTTTCTTATCTTGCCAACAAGGCGAAATTGATATGTGCCGGGCTGGAGAACGGATTGATTGCATTTCGATCGGAAAAAACATCTCCTTTAGCGAACATTTCGGTTCACAAACAGAGTCTATAAACAAAGTGAGTCTTCAACCCGAGATTCTACGGCAATTTGCTTTGATAAAACCAAGTGTTTAAAACACCGGTAAAAATACACACTGATGATTGGGCCGCCCCCATTGAATACGGATAGCTACATTTTTCACGTAAAATCAACGTACTGTGATTTAACATTATATTAATACTGAAAGCGTTGATAACAACGCCCCTGCGGTTCGGGCCTGTCTCACAAACTATGTAAATATATCATATGATGAAATACACCTGTTTTATTACAAGAAAGTTAATAGCTTATGCAAGTGGGACACTAGATTTAATGTAGAACTAAATAGACCAATTTTTGTTCTGCCATTTAAGACCAATTTTGAGGATAAAAGATGATTCACGAGTAGGCTGTTGGTTCGTCTAGCGCGTGAACTAAGACTGGCTTCTCAACTATCACAATGTCGTCTGTCAACCTAAGAGTCAACTGCGTGTTCATCTACTGCAATGCCGTCTGTGACAGAACCGAGGCGAACTGGGCCCCATAACTCGAAAGCATCGCGAATTGCGACCGACCGCAAGCGTCTCTATTCCACAACTCAGGATTTACTCGCCCCATACAATAGGCTCGAAATAAAAGGTGATATCGCTATTCGCAATTCGCGATGCTTTCCAGTTACGGAGCTCAGGTTTACACGTGCATGTATCCTGATGTACGTAAGGAGTGGGGGGAGGGAGGGAGAAACGTTAAAACAGTGGTAAGACTTTTCTGACAGAAGAAATCGCTTACTTCCGCTGAAAATGATGGCATTTTTATAGGAAACCCAATAAATAGCTATATATGCAATGCACTAAGATAACCTTACAGTGGAGGCGCATTAATGAATTGTTTTGTAAGGAACGCTTGCCCTCAGCAGAGCTTGTGTAAGGTGAACAATAGCAAGGACGCGCAGGTCAAACGTCAGTTCCGCGTCCGTTTAGTGCAGGGTTTACAGGTATTAGGCGCACATTAAATGACACGTGAATTTCCGTTTTTTTTTTTTAAGTACAATTGATGCAGTTTCTAGTTTACCTATGCGTAAAGATTTGTTTATGCAACAGAGTATGTAAGGGTTGCATATATAAGTTATAACAACACAAAACAACAACACAATACAATTAGTTGTTTAAAAAAAAACATTCTTCGATCTATGCAAAGAAAGAAATGTACTTGAACTACTCGCACAATACCATACACAAAGCTTAGGAGTATGTGGACAGGGCCGGGGCTAGGGGTGTACGCGCACGTGTAGCACAGGTTTGAACAGAGCCTTTCATTTGAACTGACATAACCTTGTCCCCACCTGCCCCCGGGACCACAGGGTGCACGGTCAGTTACAAGTTAATCAGATTAGTATACTTAAACTCTGCATTCTCTATTAGAAGCCCCTGATATCAGAAGGTAGTCTACCCCCAGGTGACCAGTCGCGTAGGAAGCGGTGGGGGGGGGGGGGGACCATCATTCAGAAAAAAAGAAACAATTAGAGACGGGGACAGAAAGGGATAGAAAAAAAATGTTATTATGAATTTGAGTAGGGCATCGATTGACTGGGGTCACGACCCACGACGTAATATTCTGATGATTTTTTCAACTACACATATTATTTAAATCCCTTTCTTTGGTCGAGCTACACGATGCCATTATGACTAATGTGGTTGAGAGAAGTGGGGAAGGGGGTGAGATGGGGGGGTGAGCACCCCTCCCCCTCCCCTTACGCCTACGACCATGCATCAACATCGTCCTAATACCGAGCACATAATACTGAACCAAGTGGATTACTACAACTTCATTTAATAGTTTACATACCTTATTTTAAAAACTGTCCACCGTCTGTCGAGGTCAAGGGAAGACGCGAGCTAGTGGTCCTTTACCAGTACGGTCCTGCAAAAAAGACCCTCGCAGGCGGGTGTCTCACACACTGTCTACGGGAGCTGCCGCGCACTTGCTATCACCCTGTGAATAATTTACAAACCTGAGTAACAGCACGTAACTAATTTTGCAATAAGTGCCGTAAGTTCAAACGCCATTTTTATATTTTATAACGAACCGACTAATTACACTCTCGTTGATGTAAACTGTGTACAAACCTACACTGTACAACTGTAAATGAATCTCGTATATTACTTAACAGAAAAAAAATATGGCAAACGTAGCCTGTCACATAAACACTGCTAATACCACACCAAAATAAAGAAATGAATAAGAATACTATGCATGATAAGATTAAACGCGACATTTTACCTAAAACCAGATCAGCGAAGAACCACCTGCCCCAGGAAAACTCGATTGAGTAAGTGAGACTCCTTAATTTTTTCAGTGCAGACAGACGTCGCACGCAACCGCTAGGGTGCGCCACCGTCGCCAGGTGTTCATTTGTCTCAAACACCTGACCTTGCTTCGTTTCGTTAAGTAAGTGAACTTGTTCCCTTACAGTAGGGTCGGTGTCGTGTACTCGAGGGTCGAGCAGAACACTTATGTAAGGGTTACAAATATGTGCTAACTTAAATAAGACTCTAATTACAGCTTCTAGCAAGTGACATGGGTCACGCTATGATTGTATTATATCCGAATGAGTAATTTAAGGCACAGAAGGGAAATAAGTGTGTAAGAGGCAGAGAATGCCCCATAAAAATGTATTTTTCATCTGGGGGCTTCTTTACATTTTTGCCATTGCGACAATATTGACCAATTTGCTCCTATAGGAGCATTCTGCACCAATAATTTACGTACTTGGTGTTGTTGAATTTTACTGTGGTCTCTTATAATTATATTGTTTTAAATGTTAAAAAAACTTGATTTACTTAGGAATACTTTTATTTATGGTATTTACTTTATGTATCGTGGCGACTTTTTAAATAAATGGCAGTTTAACTGTTTTAAAGTTTCATACTGCAGACGCGAAAATGAAGAAAGAAATGAGTCAAAATAAATGTAGTTCCATTTTATAGCAGAAATGTGTGAATCAGAGAGAGAGAGAGAGAGAGAGAGAGAGAGAGAGAGAGCATGTGATTTCGGATCCGACATTGTCTTTAACCCAAGTTGTTACATATTTGCCAGCACGTCAGAAAAGGCGAACATTTGACGAATTTGCGCCGGCCTAATAAAGGTTATAATTATAATGTTGCAAACATAAAGAAGCTTACTGATCCAACAGGAGCTATTTATGGTATTTACTTTATGTATCGTGGCGACTTTTTAAATTCCGAGTTGCAGTTTTACCGTTTTAAAGTTACATACTGCAGACGCGAAAATGAAGAAATAAACATGTCAAAGTGGATTTTAAAGTTTCCATGGCGAACTTTCTGGTAAGAAATATTATGGAACAATTACAAACACGACGATGCAAATACAGGGCTCTGTAACTCGAAAGCATCACGAATAGCGATATCACCTTTTATTTCGAGGCTATTGTATGGGGCAAGTAAATCCCGAGTTATGGAATAGAGACCTACTTGCGTTTGGTCGCAATTCGCGATGCTTACGAGTTACGGAGCCCAGGACGACAAAATGTATCTATATAAGACCCGGGTGATATACGTCTTTCCTCCTGTTTATTTAATTTTTCCAGACCATCAATAACAAGTTAGACATGACTGCTGGTTTCAACTAAATTAATTAAAAAAAATATCATACCGTTTTTTATGTGCAAAACTGACAATTTGAGCTTCGGTATATTGATGCTAAGGTATGCGTCAACGTTATAATGTATGTCAAAAGTTCATTTGTATTATGTACATTTCGTACAACAGCAAAAGGCTTCAATTGAAATATTTTCTTTTTCTTGTGCGCTTTATTTATTTTACGTTATTGGGTGTTTCTTTTGACGTATGTCGAGTGAAATGTGCATCGTGTCCAGTGAGTGTCCACTCTGGGTCACAATGACCAATTTTGTACGGGTTGTTTGAGTTCAGGATATAAGAAGCGCATAAAGGTAGTTGACCCAGGCAGCGGAGGTCGTCCGCTGTCCAAACCTAGAAGTTTGTGCTAAGGGCACGTAAAAATGTTTTTGTACACGTGTGTGTGTGTGTGTGTGTGTGTGTGTGTGTGTGTGAGAGAGAGAGAGAGAGAGAGAGAGACAGCTACCCAGTGTGACAGGAATGACAGTCCGCTAGACACCGTAGACCGCCCCCCCCCCCCCCCTTTACTTCGTAGTGTAGTGAGTGGTCTTTTTGCGTAAATGTTTCTTTTACTTGCGCGCGTTATATATTTTACGTTGTTGGTTGTTTCTTTAGTCGTATGTCGAGTGAAAAGTTTATCGTTGTCCAGCGAGTGCCCACTGTTGGTCACAATGAACAGTTTTGTACGGTTTGTTTGCGTTCATGATTAAGGAGGGCATAAAGGTAGCTGACTCGGGCAGCTTAGGCCAAACCTGGAAGTTTGTCTTCAGGACACGTTAAAAGAGTGCACACGTGTGTGTGTGTGTGTGTGTGTGTGTGTGTGTGTGAGTGACAGGGGACCCAGTGTGACATGTATGGTTGTCCGCTAGACACCGTAGTCTGTTCCGCATTACTTTGTACAGGTGGCATTCGCCCCTTATTCTACTCCAATTCTCCGACTAACCCTAACCTGTGCTAATCGTGTTGGACCTTAGATTTCCATTCCTGGGACTACCATTCCTTCCACACCTGTCAGTAACAAGTAATGAGTGGTCTTCTTGCGTAAAGGTTTCATATCCTAACACACTGAAAATTTGGCACTTAAAGAGGGCACTCACATTTCAGTGCAAGTTATTTGTTAAATGCTACTTCAGTGAATGGTTCAATGAATGCACGCATTCATAATCTCATACATGAGCCATTTCTTTTATTTCTTTGGAATTTACTTGAACCTGTAGCGAGCGGGCCATCTTGCGTAAGGGTTTCATATCCATGGCCTTCTTCAGACTCGAGCGGCCAAATGGCCATTTTTAAAATTCAATAATTTTTTTAAATTTCATTACATATCTGTTTTTAACAATTTTCTGGTAATAATCGTGATGACATTAAGGAAAAAAGACCTGCAGCATGTCTTTGCTAGTCCTCTTTGTCTTTCATTGGCACATAAAATGTAACGGTAACTCATAAAACTGCCTAGGTGCGTATGATTTTGATTTGCAAACTGGCTGTCCGTAAATTATATCGGTGGTAATTTTTTAAAAATCTCGTTTCAAACTGGGACTCATGAATGATCGTTCCTCAGTTAAATGCTCGTTTGACTTGACGCGAAGTCTTTTCTCAATCTTTCACAAAATCCCGAAGTCTTTGCCCCCTTTCGTTCTCTCGTTTAGCTAAGTGTAAGCATATTTTGCATTCAAGTGCCTTTAGAATCTTCTATTCTTTTTTCCCTGAATAAGCGATTACCAAAACAACACAATTAATTGGATTTTTTAATTTTTTTTTATTCTATACTACAGGATCTCGGACCACACAGGTGTCCTTGGGGTCCCGATTCCAAGAAAGATGTGAGTGCTGTGAAACGTAATTACGCAGAATTGTACGTACAAAAATTCATACGGAGTTAGGTTAATAATTCTTTGAGCTGGCAGACAATCTCGGCAACCAGAGGTAGTCCGTCTTCATAAATTTTGATTCACGAAGAAATCCATTCGTTCTTGTCCTGTTGATTTTCAGGTTATCCAGATTGTATTATCGAACAGAACTTGGACTATCCCGACATTTTTCTATCCAAATCTACATGTCCATTTTGCTTCCATACAATACTCAAGGTTAGAGATATGATTCGTGGTTTTGATGGTAAACAAAGTTGCACTTAATGGCACAAGCAAGCATGAAGGTTGAAAGACACGGAATATCTAAATATAAATGAATGCATGTAAACTAAATAATACCATTAAAAGCACTATTATAATATATATATATAATATTTTATAAAATAATGTATATGTATATAACCCGCTAGAGCATGACGCAACATACCAAACGCAAACGCTTCTGTTTAAGGTAGAGATATAATGTGATAATGATAATGATAATAAGGTTAAAATAGACACGCACACTCAGGGAGATAGATAACACAGCCTGGGCGGCGTGGGGGAGTTAAAAAACCATGACCCACTCTTTGGGCGTCAGGATCTGATGTCACCTAAGGTAACGGCTAACGGAAAACCGTTAGAGCACCGAAAGCGCAGAGCACCGAAAGAACAAACGAATGTTCAGTGGATGGTTGCATGTATTTATGTCGATTTCACGGGAACGAGCTACCGGTCAGCAGCGTTTTTAAGCAGTCCGTTTCCATGGAAGACACTGGCACACACATCGTATTTGGACTCCCCCACGCCGGGGCGTGAAAGACTAGTAATAGTCGGCATCTAGAATAACACCCATATAGCATATCAGGAATATATATATTGGATAACAGTGTCTCAGTCATTTCGAAAGGGTACTTCATATGAAGCACCAAAGCTCTACAGATGCTAATAGCGTCGCACAGTTCACAGCATCGTCAGTGGTTGGGATGACGGTCCCGATCTTCGTTCATTCGTCCGTGGAAAAGGCGTTGCCCAATTCAAATCCAAGTTCGTCCAGATTTATGTAGGTCTGTAGCCAGCAGTTTCAAAGTAAGGGTGAGGGAGAAGGGCCCTTTTTTTCTGAGAATTTTTTTTCAGCTCCATTATTTCATGCAACTTTAGAAATGGCATATACCCTAGTTCAAATATGTTCTTTTTCGGCCAAAACAGCGGCTCTTTCGTCTCCCCTCCTCCCCGGTCTTGGATCCAGTTACTCGCTCTCTCCAGCCGCAGTGTAGGCCGGGGGGAGCTCCATGTGGACTTTATGAGTTGGGCTAAGGTCGGACATCTGCGTCTCCTTCCCCTGGGTCGGCCACTGGAAAAGATCGATCAAATTTATTTGGTGAATTTCTTAAACTGCATTCATGCAAATGTAAAAAAAAATCATTTTCAGCATTTTTCTTGTCTATTTGGCTAGGTTTTTATAAAAGAAATGTGTGTGTGTGTGTGTGTGTGTGTGTGAGAGAGAGAGAGAGAGAGAGAATGTGATTTCGGATCCGGCATTGTCTTTAACCTCAAGTTGTTACATATTTGCCAGCACGTCAGAAAAGGTGAACATTTTACCAATTTGCGCCGCCCTAATAAAGGCTATAATTGTTGCAAACGTCAAGATGCTTACCGGTCCAATAGGAGCTAAGACGGTTTCTTTTGCGGACTTGGCAAAAATCATGATGTAGATGACACCAACCGCCATGGTCAACACGTCAATTAGGACACGAACGTACTGAAATTGAAAGGAAACAACACTAAGTTCAATATTTTAATACATATTTGTCTTGAATATTGACACACGTATGAGTGGAATGACGGAAGGGGTTTCTATACTTGTTAAGATTTGACGTTTTTGTATGAAGGGAAGTACATATGAATTTCCTTTTTCCTGGGAAAGGTAATACTAATCTTTAAAAAATGTTAAAGTTCCATGCATAAGTCTATACTTACGGCCATGTCCGGATAGTGGTAGTGGAAAGGCCAGTCAGATGTGTCAACGGCTGGACCGTTGATGGTACTTGCGTTCTGGATTGGAGCGGCCGTGGCGTTCACGTTATGCAACAACACATTCTTTATCGTGGTTGTGGGAGGCTGTAGTGAAATAAAATATAACATGAACTGAGTGTAAGTTTTGCATATCCATTTTCCCGAATATGTTCAATCCAATTCAGCCCGGTTGCGGATTTATACATCCGAGAGGTGTTTTTGTCTGTGGTTATAGAAATAAATGGATATCATTAAAAAGTTTAAATTATACCGTTTGTTTTCCGGCAGGCCGATCGGAGCCGTGTCTAGGTCGATTGCGTGTGAATTTACTCTATTCGAAATTACTCCAAAGTAGGAAAGAGTGTTTTAACAAATGAAAATAGAAATGGGCTGTTTTATTCCGCCGTCTCAGGCACGTTTGAATTCTCAAGAAAGGGAGAATGGCCAAACAGAGAACACGTGCATTTTTTTTTTGCCGGTGCGATTCCATTTTTTAATGTTCTATCCAGCCTGACGATAGACCTGTAGGAAATGCATGATTACAAAATAAAACATAAGTAAAAATAAGTGGACATTTCATTTTCTCCAAATAATTATTTCATTTAATCCAAGGGGTTAATTTCTTTTGAATTATACTCACTGCGATAGTGGTAGTGGCGTTGCGGTTGGCAGCATTAATAGCTGCAATTCTCCTAGAGTCGCTGTATGTGTCTTTACCTGTAATAAGAAATGCCTGAGTCAGTGAACGATGAAGGCGAACAGAAAAATAGATATTACGAGACGTGACATAATAACATCAGCCCGAGCATAGAGCGCGTAAGGGATTGAAACATTGCCAAAGTTTACATACATGAACAGAACAATGGTTAAACAAAGTCTGTTATTGTATTGAAATATTATAACACGGGCCTGTTTTTACCAGTAAACAAATAAAGAATACGAATGGCTAATAATGCATTTACTCAAGTTTCCTTACCTCCAAACCCAGTAAGGAGTAGGGCGCAGATAAACGACAAACCGGCAAGTCCTTGGTAGATGCGTTTCTGAAAAAAAAACAGTCTTTTCTATACACTCCCACAAAGATGACATTGCATTTTTGAATTTTTCCAATAGTCGAAAAAAATTTAATAATTATATATTCTCGCATACTAATAGCGATGTGTTTTTGGATCTATCGAAAGTCGAGAAAACCTTAGATAAAAATCGACATAAGAAGATGTAATCTTTTCCTATTTTATAAAAGTAACGGTAAGACTTACCGATCTGGTGGTCTTGTATCTCTTCCTAGCAAAAGTCCCTGCTATAATCATCTAATAGAGAAAATCAATTTTATTAGACATATCGTTTCGGTCACCTTATATGGTATTGAATTATGAATAATACTAAAACAATACACTGACAATGACACCACAAGCGACTAATGATAGTAGTCTTTCATCTTTTAGGATATAGAAGAGGTGAGTGGGAAATATTTTGGTGGAGGGGGGTGTCAATTTTACCACTTCTACCCTTTAATTTGTCGGATTGTTTGTCTTGTACAAAGTAATAAAGTAAAACATAATAAATCCGCACTAAGTCTGGGTTTAGGGTCATCCATTATTATCGCCATTTTCACAAGACTTCAAATAACCCATTTTTTCACGACCGCCGCCAACCCCTTCAGAGAGTACAAGGTGGAAAACTAATTGATCATGACATATGGCAGCACTTTGAATAAACATTTTTATTATTGTTCGAAAGCGTAAATAATGCAATACCCCACCCCAACCCCCACCCCCGTACGGTTTCCACACTTATGAAAATGATAATAAAAATGGGTTGACCCCTAAGCAAAGCCTGTTTAGCTCCAACCGGTGAGACTGAACACTTACACAAATGCCTCCCCAGATGCCGACGCCGGTCTTGGAGTAGCCGGTCATGAAGCCCACTGCTACTCCTCCAATGGCACAAGATATGCCTCCCAGCACCATTTGAGCCCAGGCGTACCTGGAGGGTTAGAAAAAATCAGCACATTAAAAAAAGACTTAAGCTGAAAGCTGTCTATGCCTAATATCTAAAACATTTATGAAGTAAAGCATTTTGTGCAGCTTGTTTTAAAAATGCAAAGTATTTTCTGGTAGAGAATTTTAGGATTTATATCCACAATGGGACCGGTAGAAGGCATTTTATACGTTTTAGTTTTGTAATGATGATGCATCTATGAACAGGTCCATGCAAATCACTGTATTTCAACGAACATGTTGCTGCAGATGTGTGTATGTGTCCGTGCGTGTGTGTGTGTGTGTCCGTGGGCGCGCGCGTGTGTGTATGTGAGAGAGAGAGAGAGAGAGAGAGAGAGGGGAGTGTCCTCACAATCATCTGCGTGACTTTGGAAGTTACTGTCCTCAGTGGGGATATGGTTAAAGAAATAAAAACACCAAACTTATTTAACTGGCAATGTTATCTAAATGCTTCGTGTCTAGTTTAATAAATTCATTGAGGGAGCTGATCAAAATGCTTTTTGTGGCGAATCTTTCAAAAACGTGGAATTAAACGGAAAGAATGTTAAAGTGTTGATTATGTAAGGTTACGACTTACGAAAGGTCGTACCTCACTGGCAGGAATACATGAATGTAGAAAGATGGAAATCTTGATTCACGCACTACTCACGGGTAAAGCAATCCTTCAAAAACTTCAGTCTTAGATTTCATTAAACCTTCAGACATTTTTATGCAACGCGATAAGAAAAGCTGAGGCGACCAGCATTGTAACCCAGACAAACTTGACCTAAATTTCTCGAATTTATATCCACAATGGAACCGGTATAAAGCATTTTATTCGTTTTAGTTTTGTAATGATGATGCCTCAGTGAACAGCTTCATGCAGACCCAATATTATTTAATCAAGTAAAAACTCTAGTTTTATTAATTCATGGAGGGGGGTAATCACAATCCTTCCTTCGTGCGAACTTTTCAAAACGTAGAATTAAGCGGAAAACGTGTAAATTTGTTGGTTCAGGAAGGTTACGACTTACGTAAAGTCACGCCCAACTGGCAGGAGGCTTGAATGTAAAAAGATGGATATTTCTTTTCAAGCACAAGTCACGCGTAAAACAATTCTTTTAAGGCTTCACAGTCTCAAATTTCATTTACCTTTCAGACACTTTTATGCAACAAGTAAATAAGCAGGGGAAACCAGCTGTTGTACCTCAGGTAAACTTGACCCAATTTTTTCTCGTGGCCCGGTTAAGTAAGGCCACAGCGTACAGCTACAGTGTGTCTCGTAACAGCGAACACCGAGGCCACGGAGATTTAGGTCATTAGGCTACCGTGCAATGAAGGACAAGAGTCCTTGCGACAAAATCTTTTATCAGAAGTAAGTCAGCCTAAGAAAACGATTTGGTACGCCTCGGAGAGCCGATATTTTTAGCACCAAACTCATATAGTACTCCGAGATTCCTAAAATCTTATTATCATCTATTTGCTCTGTGAATTTTATTAAGTAGGCATGCGTCAAATTTCACTTTTAATGTAAATGAAGTTTACTACTACTAGCACTTCTAGTAGCACTAGCACTTAATCTATTTTTTTCAATTTTCACTACATTTGGAAAGCTTTAAGCCAAGGATTTTTCTCACTTAATTTGCAAACACTGGTGTTATTTACCATGGATGATTGTGATGCTTGTTCTTCTTTTTTTCCAACTTCCACTGCTTCTTCAATTGCTTGAAAGTTAGGCCAGTCTCTGGATCGCATTCTCGGTGCTTCTTCTCCTCGTACTAAAATATGATAGTTAATAACAATTTACATTCATAAATCATTTAATTCGAACGTGTCTACTTTCTTTTATTTTCTTCTTTTTTATTTCTAGTAAATCCTGAACGGCCCATTGTTGTTAAGCTTAACACTAACAGAATAAATAAATAAATAAATAAATAAATAAATAAATAAATAAATAAATAAATAAATAAAACTGGAGAGCAATATTCAAACTTAACAAATCAAGTGTGTAAGGAAATGAAAAATTTAAAAACTTACAATTTTCTTCAGCATATCAGCCTTTTCTAGCTTTTTCTTAAGTTTCTTGGAATATGCCCTCTCTCCCCCCTCGAATTCCGGCTTGGACTCGGGAAACTCCTTACGAGCCTCACTGGCTACTTGATCATACTTCTCCAACTTCGAAATTTTCTTCTCTAATTTTTCGAACTTCATCTTGCTGGAAGAACGTTACGACTGGCTTGTCACCTGTAAAGAAGGAAGGCACAATATATATTTATGCCAGTTGATGGGCTTAGGTGTCACGTGGTAGTTAGAGTCACGTGACTATCAAAAGCGCACTCATGTATTTTTCCGGCGATTAATAGCTCAGCTAAACGTTGCATTTTATCTATCACATTAAGGAGTACTTGAGAAGGTAAATCATTTTAACGAACGACTCCGCACAACAATAGACCAGCCTGTTTCACTGTTAAATTAGGCAACTCTTTTAAGGCTGTAAGCTGCATGTAGAATTATCGATTTGTTTTTGCATTGAACAATAGGCCAACTCAAAACATTGGTAGGCAGCTAAGGATAAAGGCAATACAAATACAAATTCCGACTGCTTTGCTTTGAATGTTGAAACAAATTAGTGACTCAATCGCTGCCCGACTTGCTACGCTTTCTGACTTCACGCGGACAAACTGTAACTATGATAACTTGGAGCGCAAAGCTATTGACATTTAAGATTTTTTTCTCTGGCGTTACTTAACTGCAAATAATGTGTCATTAAATCTCTTTACACATATAAGAAAAAATAAACCCAAGCCACACAAATGATCGATCTGCTTCTGTTATAATCTTTTAAGCAAACATACTTGGTCACTCAAATCACCTTCGGCTAGGCAGAATCTCCTCCGTGACTTTCTCTTTGACCGTCTTCCTCTCTCTCCTTATATCCCTAAAGCCTGTCCGAATGTACGTCCGCTACCCTGAACACTGCTTGCGGGAATGAGTTGCACCTGAAAAAGCAGTTAATAATGAAGTATAGTCACCCGAGAATATTTTGTGCGCAACGCACTATGGTATCCTTACGTAAGGCGAAATCATTCCCCCAAAATCTTGGCCTGTTCACGAGGGTGATACGATCGTCCAATCGTCATTCATACTTGAATTAAGCAGATTTTCTCTTTATCTTTCTAGAATCCTATTTTGTAAACGAAAAAAAAACTTAAACAAAAAAGGTTTTTCCATATTAATTAGTTTAAGGAAAACCCTGACTGCCCGGGTTAAAACTTAAATAATGCAAAGAACGGCTACTGAAAATGTATAGAACTTACGCAAGGTCTATAAGGGTCCTCGAGGTCGGCCTTACCTATAGTTTGACGCACAGGTAACTTAGATACGTGAACCTTTTCATACTGTATTTACAAGGGTCACCTGGCAAAACAATCCCAAGTTCTTGATTCATTTTATTTATTTTTTATTTTTTTGCTGTGAAGCATGGGTGGGCAACGACCAACTCCACATATCGCCGCTGCTGAGAGCGATCAGAGCGTTTCAATATTGAACAGGTCCCAGAAGACATAATTTTTGAAGAATGCATTTCCTCTTTTACTGAAGATACCTGGCTACAAATGCGGCTTTTCACCTTTTACTTTAACCTTGAGAGATGCGACCGATTACAAAAAATGCAGAGTGTTAGATAAAAGTTAGCGAGGACGAGGTTACGGGTGACACCGGCTTGGTCGATCATGACAGGTTTTGGTAAAGGAGCAGCGGACAGAGACGGTCTCGGATGATGAACATATACCAATAAAGACGGTCCCTTACATAAGCCGAAAAGCTTACATAAATATTAAATAAGTGGTCTAGCCGTCCCATTGTTTCTCTTATCTTCTCTTACTCAACATTAGTCTATATCTTTAATATTAACAAATTCTTTTTTCTCTAATAAAAAACGCAATTACATTTAAATNAACAAATAGGGCCGGTTTTCCCCAACCGCCACGCATAGGCCTTACTCTCAAAATTTTCCTTCTTTCCTCTGGAAAGGGACTTTTAACACGAACTTTTCTCTTCCCCATAGTGTACTAGCTAGACTTCTTCGCTGCTAAGCTGATGTAAGACTTATGACCTATTACCGCACACGTAATCGGCTTATAACTCATTAACTGTGCTCCGACCCCCTCATGGCAACGGCCCTTAGTAACAGAGGCGTGGCTTAGTTGTCAGCCTGACTGGGGCGCGTGCCGGTTGAAAAACTCATCAAAAGACGCATTTTGCGATGCAAATTCATAAAAAATTATTACATCCAACGTTAGATACTTTTTTGATTAATATAAACACACAAAAAACTCAAAAACACCATTTTAAGCGTATTTAACCCTATCACCGACCTTAAGTGTTAATAAGAGGCGTTTGGGAAGTTAACCTTTTAGACCGTTCTCCGCGTGTAACGGCTCGAACGCATGGAAGAATACATCTTGTCTGAACCTGACACAACTTACCAGTGAAAAAACAATTTAAAGAAATTACATATGCAGTGCAAATTCGACTCATTTTGCTCAAGCATTAGTTACATTATTTGTATTAAAGTCTCAATAAATCTCATATGTTTAAGAAATAAATGTTAAGACAAACCCACTAGTACATGTTAAACACATACACTGGTTTATTTTCGACATAACAGCAGAAATATATAGTTATACATATCCCAGTTGCTTGGAATCATAAAATCCTACCAGTCTAAGAAAAATAATTATATAAATATAGAGTGTAACGAGGATAGAGATTTATAGTTCCTACTGTGCCTTACCATTGTAAATAACCCTAAGACTTTTGGCAACAACATAATACTAATACAGCTTGGACAGTTTGTAAGTTGAACCGGTACATACTGTTTACACATAGACTGGGTTCCCATACTTAGATCGCTCCATCTGGATCGACCTAACTCCCTGGGGGTTCACGCTAAATTGCCATCAGCTCAAGAGGCTTAAATTTCTGTCACGCCTATCGAATCAGCTAGGGGTAAAGATAATTACCCCCTAATAGTAATAGCTTTACTAGGCATGACAGATGTTTAAGCCAGTTAGTTTGACAGCAATTTAGTGAGACTCCCCAGGGAGATAGATCGATCCAAATATCTGTGGGAATGGTCCCATAGATATGTATCAATTACTGCCACCATTTCAATACCACTTCACATCAATGCCATATCATCCAAAAATTACTGCATGTACCCCTGAACCTGCATTTGGAAAGAGAAAGAATATCATAATCTAAATGCAAAAATACAGATACTTCATGTATTTTATAGACATGAAAGCTTTAAAGATTTAAAACTTTAATTGATTCCAAACTGTAGTGTTTTTGATGTTGAAAATGGAGCTATGGTAATACAGAATAATAAATACACATGTACCAGTATAACATTAAATGTATATCACATTACATATTGGTTTGTAAAGCTGGCCCAACACATTTAAGTAATCTATAATAAATTAAGTTTCCCATAATTTTAAACAAGCATAGAGAATTATTGCACTGTTCATTTTGACTAATATTTGATAAGAAGCCCGATCAGAAGCAACTAACTACGATATTTAAGAAGGAATAACTTATTACAACTGTCACAATATTTTTTCTAAAAAGGAAACAGAACATATGTTTATGAGGATTGTTGTCTCACTAAAACAAGGAACTTATATAATAAATACAACAAGATGATGTCTTCATTTACCAAGGATAAATATAGGAGTGTATGGGTGCTTTCCCAGAGATTTAGATCGATCTAGAGATTAAGATTTAGATCGACCTAACTCCCTGGGGGGTTCACGCTAAATTGCAGTCAGCCGAGCGAGCACCATAGTTAATTACCCCCTTGCAGCTTTTAGTAGGCGGGACAGACTCTTAAGCCGGCCAAGCTTACAGTAATCTAGTGAGACTCCCCACAGGGATAGATCGATCTAAAAATCTATGGAAATGGGGTGTATGTGTGTGCATGCATTATTAATATTACTGGTAACATGAATCTTATAAAATATGTTGAATTGAAGTGTTGCAAATGACTGATAAGCATATATGTAAATGCATAAAGACCTAATGTGGCTGAAGATAAATAGAGTGAAGAATTAATACAAGGGTTTTAACTAAGTTTCTTTTTTATCAAATGCCTTATATTACATTGACAGAAACAATAGCTGAAAGATATCTAGCCTTTGATTTGTGACTTTAAAAAAGAACAATATTACCTCAAAAAAAGATAAAATGCTACACAAAAGTGCCCAAAGAATAAAACTAAACTTGACAAAAATAATAAGTAAAAAGTACTGCTATATAAGAAATATAACTATAATAAATATGTGTATAATGGCTCCTACAAAAAGAAGCACTGTAATAGAAGGGAAGAGATTCTGACCTCATAGTAAGCATAACATCAGTGTCATAAGACCTGTTGTCTTCCTACAACAATTTTTACCCACTGCCTGCTTTGCTCATATTCTACTTTCTTCCTCCATGAATACTATCAATTTCCTCCACAGAAAAATATTAAGCATTATATATGTGTTGTAAGATCTGTTGTCTCCCATAAGTTTATTTCAACATAATTTTTAACCCACTGCCTGCTTTGTTCATTTTCTACTTTCTTCCACCATAAATAATATCAAATTTCCCCACAGAAAAAATTTTACATGTACGTACTGATCTCACCATTGTTGAGATTGTTATGCTTATAAATGGAACATTGTATGCATCACAGGCCCGTAGCCAGCAATTCCAAAGGGGGGGGGGAGTTTTTTTTTTCTGACAAAGTAGACCTTTAACCATAAAAACTTAATGTACCAAGATCAGATTTTACCCAGAGGGAACCTTTTATCAGCAAAAGTGGCAGTTCTTTTGAACTTCCCAAACCCCCTGGCTACAGGCCTGCATTTTAAGCTCTAAGTAAGAATATCATTATTATTGAAAGTATCATGTAACACGTATTGTCCATTTTGTAATCCCAAACTGATGTTTAACTAAAAGCAATCAGAGTACAGGCACCACACTTCTTTTTTAGAGGATGTCAAATCCCAATATTCAATTGGGGTCCCTCGAAATTTTGTTTTTCTGTCTGTGTACATATCATAAATTCTTTAACTCAACTGTAGGATTCCTTAAATTCTTGTTGAGTCCATTCCCTTCCCATGATTTGCAGACCTTGCAATTTTGCTTTCCTTTTTCAGCAGGGATGCCCCTTCATTGCTGGTAATGGATTGAATTGACTCCGCAGAGCTGTATCTCTGCAGGGGATCGCTTTCCCTTGCTGGCGACTGACGTGGACTTATAGATGGAGAACGGCTAATACTTTGCGATGACTGCAACCCCAGCTTTCCCAACTGTCTTGCGATCCTAGAGCGCGCACCACTGGGGGCGCCACTGCGTGAGGCATCCAAGATGTTCTCTGTTGAACGAGAGCGCTTGTAGCGGCCTTTTGGAGGAGACTGGAAATGCAATATAATTAATAACTTCATTATTCATCACTTTTAAGGAACAACTGAAAAAGTTTGCAAACTTTTAATCCAACACAAGCCATATGTAGTCAAGATTCAAATCAAAGCAATGAACAGGTTGTCTGATATTTTGGTGTTCATTATGACAGAAATGACACATTGTGTGGTACTAGTGCACTTTTCTGTTTCACACCCATTTTGACGGCTCCTAACATAAAATTATGCAATGGGTGGTTTTTACTGTCCTTAACATGTTCACTTTCAACTGTTTAGACCTATCAAAATGAATCTCTTTAACTGGCGGTGTCTAGCACGAGGGCTCCATTTCTTATCAAAGCTTTAATCCTTCAAAATAGTATGAAACAGAATAATACACTGCACCATGATAAAGAGCCCTAGCTGTCCCCCACCTGAGCCAGGGTCAATTCTCCATGTAATTCAGTATGGGACTTGCTCACGGCCATTCTCAAGGGGCTTTGTCCAGCTCTGGGTGTCACCCCGATCTTGTCCGTCTCTTCCAGAGAGGAGCATCTCTGTTGCAGTCCCTCTGGAATATCCTCAAGGACTGGAGATGATATGATCCCGGATCCGCCATGACTGCCTCTCTTCCGTAACAGACCTTCAGGATGTAATATAAAAGCATTATTTCCATAATTATTGATTTACATCTAGCATTAAATTTACAGTATTACATACTCAGGCTTTCATTTATTCATCAGCTGTAAGGTGTCCCTTGTCTGTTACTAATAGATGTGTAATTAAGAATGGCATTACATTTTTCCCTATTTGAAGTTATAATCTAAAATCCCCACTGCTTTAATAATTTTAGCAAGAGATATTGTTTATCACATGATCATGTGTGTCATCAACTATGATTGGATGGAATTTTGTCCACTCACTGAACTGGGCCACGGGTTCTGCGACACTGTCTTCCTGTATGATGGTCTGGGGTACTACCTGTTCCGTGACACATTCTGTTGCAATCTCCTTCAGTTCTTGCATCTCGACCTAGAAAATGTATAAAAATTGTAGCGTCTCCATTAACATGTATATACATTTGGAATTGCCAGGGAAAAATTATATATGAACTATAAATTGTATATAAGCTTTAAATTGTACTGAGTACTGTACTTTGTAATTTTGAAAATTATAGCTTTACCGTGTACATGCATGTTGTATTTCAAACTTGAAAATCTTTATCATTATTTTAAGTCTCCACATACTGTATCAATTGTATGAAAATCTAAAATTTCTACCTATAAATGGTATATGATAATTTTTAACTGTTCTGACTCTCTCTCTTTCTTTTCTCTCTCTCTCTCCCTTTCTCACCAGACATCACATTCAAAATAAATATAAAAACTGGAAACTGACCTGTGTGGGTTGTACTTCCTCTGCTGCTATGGCGATGGTTTCCGGGCCAACCCCTGCCACTCTCTCCCTGTCTCTGTTCTGACTCCGCCTACTGAATGCCTTGGTGCCCATCCTTTTCACTTTGAAGGTTTTACGACTCTTGAAATCTGCCCTCTGAAGGCGATGGGTTCTAACATCACTTGCAGTTTCTATGAATGCCGAAGGCTCCCCGTTGGTTTCTTCATCGAAAGAACTAGCAGCTAAGGTGGAGAATGTGAAAGTTTGAACATTTCTACGTGTGAAATCTCTCTCAAAGATAAAATGTGTATATTGGTACCTACCTTACCAAGAACATAAAAGGAATTAAAAAAAAAAAAATCAAAAAAGGTATGAACCAAAATATGGTTCTCAATATCATGAAATGTTAAAGTAAACTCAAATATTTTATCACTTTGTAACTACCTCATAATTATTTACACAAATAATTAAAACAAACAATTATAATCATATGAGCCAAAAGGTGACAACCAGCAATCACCTATATATAATATATTGTAATACATCAGGAGAAGAGAAAGCAAGAAAATTTGCAGACTGATATCGATGTAGAACCCCATTGCAATGAAAAGAGCAAGAAAACCGTGAGACAGCATATTCCCTTGTGTAGAACCTGGGTTAACTTTAAGGTGGGGGGGGGGGGGGG